CCTATACTCCCTAACCCTTTAGTATTAGCTGTATTTCCTACCCGCTCCGCAAATGCTATAGTGTAGTTATTACCCTACTATAGCTTGCACCTATAGGCGTCTAACAAGCTAACTAGGTTTAACTTAGTCTATCTACACTACCCTAATCTATAGTTAGAGTTTAGGGTAACTAACTAACCTAAGGTAATAGCGTAGTCTATAGTGTACAAGGTCTGCGTAGTAATATAGGGGCGTTACGTAGAAGGTATATATAGCTACTCCTACTAGTTGCTATTAAATATACTAATATTAGCGTAATAATAGTCTCTGTAATATCTATGCCCTCTATAGCCTATAGTGCAAGGACGTTATCTACCTCTTAACTACTAGCGTCTATAACATTAGATAGAGGATAAGGTAATAATATTCTACTACTTAGTGCCTCCCTCTACTTCTATATAGCTGCCTTACGCCAAGATTAATAAGATATATAAGTAGATACTAATATATTATTAAGGCTGCGTATAAAGTTAATAATGCCTTCTATAGTAGAGGCAAACTAATAGCTACACACGCTTAGAGCCTTAACGCAGAACTTAGTAGTAAAGAGTTTAGATAGTTTAGTAGGATTGCTACTAATATCCCCTATAAACTTATTATAGGCGTTACTTACTTTAATGCAAGCTAACTCTAGTATATACATACCTACTAGTATAGGAAATGCTATATTAGGTTGTGTGTATAACTTAGTCACGCGCTCCTATGCAAACCTCCCTAGCTCCTTATACACAAATTAACTTGTCTTTCTAATTCTTAGTTTTGTAGGTTGCTCTAGTTATGCTAGTGGTAGAATAGGGACTAATTTAAGAGCTATATTATAACCTAAATAATAATACTCTAGTGTAATAGAAGGTTGTTTAGTAGCTAGTATTAGGTATTTACTAAGCGTCTCTAAGAAACCACTATAGTAATAAGGGTTATTTGCTAACTAGATTAATTCTAGTAGTACCTTATTACGTAGATTAAGTTTAGCATTAGTCTAATACACTAGTTAGCCCCTACTATTAATAGCTTCTTCCCTACGCTAGTCTGTCCCTTTAGCAAGCTATAATAGGTTAAGGGCATCGTCCTAATTACCTAGAGTTGCGACCTGCAACAGCTAGCTATAGCTATAGAAAAGAGAGGGCTAAATCTAGTTTTTCTTATAACTGTTACTTAGCCTAGCTGTGTCTAACTTCTCTTTAGGTAGTTAAGTTAACCTAACACTAAATAACTAATACAGCAATATAATATACGCAACGCTAATATAGCTATAACCTTACCCCTCTTAACTAATACGCTACTATATATTAGTAATGCTCTATATAATAGGTATGTTATATATAATAACTTAGACAATATCTATAATATTAACGCCTATACCTAGGGCTATAGTTACAAAGATTATATAGATAGTTAAATTAGCCTTATAGAAAGCCTTGTACATCACGTCTTTATTATAATCTAAGTTTGTAGCTTTATACGTTTTAATAATATTAAACACGCATCTCTTGCTAGTGCTAACATTACTAGTAGTATACTACTATTTAGTAGCATAACCTATAGTAAGGGACACTAATATCTTTTACGCCTAGGTTACTACCTCTTTAATTGTACCGCAACCGTTAATAAATACAATTATCTTTAGAATATTAGAGGGTAAGGCTCGCCTATCTATAGTCGCGCTATCTAGAAGATAGAAGAGCTTATCTAGGTTCCTTAGTTAACTACTTAGGATAGGATATATTATAAGCTTAACGTCTAGCTAGTTAATTAATGTCTATAGAACTAACGTACAATATATCCCTATTCCTACTAGGTAGAACCCTATATAGAGTAGGACCTTCCTAGTTACCTAGATATCTAGTGTACTAGAGTAACTAAACTATATAATATCCTTATAAAGTGTTGCGTAGAGTTCTGCTAGCTATATAAATATAGGTTAGAACAGTTCCTATTATAATATAAGGTGGCACTTGTTAATAGTAACTAACCTAACTTTAGCCTAGAAAGAAGGCGTCCTTATAATAACCTAGAATTTCTAGCTTGCTGCCTACTTAGGGCCTAAGAGTATATAGGTGTAGCTGCCCTTAGCTATCTCTATAAGGATGTAAGTATACTATAGTATTTAATAATTAAGAAGATATAGCTATAATCTAGGTAATATTTATATAGCCTTAAACTACTTATTACTAAGCTTACTTAATAGTATTATCTATAGGGGTATCTTCCTTATTAATACTAAGTACGCGTAGAATATTATACTTTTCCTATAACTAGTATAAGTAATAAGTAGGATATCTACTCCCTAGCTATATATTAACTACTATAAGGTTTAAACCTAACCCTCCTAAGGTATAATAACCCGCTTAGTGTATAGAGATAGGATGTGCTAGAGGCAAGCCTAGATAATGCTATGCTAGTGCGTATAGAATAACGCTAGTCTTACTATATTAATAACTATAGGTATATCTTAAACGTCTATTTATAGTATACACGTAATTAGCTTATATAGCCCTCCTCTACTTATAGTTATATATAGCTAATTAGTATTCCCTTTATTCTATATTTAAGCTTAGTAAACGCGTGCCCTAACCTTGTAACTATCTTTCTACCTTTTTAATAACGTAGGCATACTATAAAGTAGGGCTTACTAACTACAGGTTAGCTAACTAGCCTAAGAGGTTGTAGAAGTTTGTAGAAGTTTAGAGGAGGCAAGGCTTGCTAGCAGGTAGGCTAGTTAGTTAGCCTAGGAGGTTGCAGAAGTTTGTAGAAGTTTAGAGGAGGCAAGGCTTGCTAGTAGGTAGGCTAGTTAGTTAGCCTAGGAGGTTGCAGAAGTTTGTAGAAGTTTGTAGAAGTTTAGAAAAAAATATATAACGCGCTGTAGTAGGGAAAAAGAAGGAGGTTAGGGAGGGAGGAGGTTAGGGAGAGAGGAGGTTAGGGAGGGAGGAGGTTAGAGGTTAGGGCCTATAGTAGCTAACTCTATATACGCAAAATAGTTTGTAACAGGCTTGCGCAATAATATAGTTTGTTATTATATTATAGTTCTATTACTATACTTATAGTTATAATATAAAATTAAGATCTATTAGTATAATCTATTCTACCCCTAAGGATTTTTACTTAATAGTTAATAGGTGTAGTATTATCCTAAAAATAGCTATATTGTGTTTTAAAGTTGCATTACACTAAAAAAATTCCTAGTTTCCCTTAGACGCTCTGCTAAAGCTACGCTAACCCTTTATATAAGTAGCCTGTGATTGGCCTAGAAGTTTATATCTAGCGCTAACTATATGATTGGCCTAGAAGTTTGCAGATATTTGCTAGCGCCGCAGGCGTGCATTTAGCGGAGCGTCTGATTCATGAGATAACGTATCTTCCACTGTCTTACGAAACCGGAAGCCGAACATGCGAATCCGTATCACTAAACAGCAGGCGAGAATTGATCAGAACCTTAATTCCTATCCCAGCAGTGATCCTGCTTTACCTGTCATCAACATCATGATGTATGACTTTCGTCCAGACATCGTCTAATAACTCCCAGCTGCTTGCTCACAGGGCGCATACGCCGAGCCTCTACCGGTATTTGAAGTTGACGAGAGTGGGCTAGAGATATACAGAGCCATTAATAAAGACGTGGTTGACCGCGACGGGCGCTTTTCCACCAATGAAAATCATAGAAAGGCCTTCCCTCGATCTGCTTCCTGCGCCAATATAACCAACCCTTTCAGTGCCCAGCAAGATCTCAGCCAGCACGGCAACAGGGCCCCAGGATGCCGTAGTTCTAGATGACGAGTATGTGTTCGTGGAAAGTGACTGCGCGCGAGCAGGAAATACTTTTTAAAGCGATAAGCCCTAGTAGCTCGATTATTCTCGCCGTAGCAACATACAATGCAACAACCTTCCATACTTGTAACTAATGGTTGCAAGCCACGTGGTTGTCATGAACCCGGTGTCCACTAACTAAGAACAGCACTTATGAATCTTATCTCGCCTAGGTAACGTAACCTCCCTCCTTCCCCGACGAATATCCCAGTGGGCCGAAATTGACCAACGAGATGTAGCGTAAGGTCGTAATACCTGCTACTTTTACGCTCTCATTGGCTAAAATCGGCCCACTGGGTTATTCGTCGCGTAAGGAGGGAGGGTATCGGCTCCTTTGTTAGTTTAGGCGAGTCTACATCCCATTTAGCAGCGCAAGCAACAAAGTAAGGTCAGTAGCTTCCAGATCTAAGAAGGTAGTTGGGAGGAATGAATGTGTGGTTTTGCATTAACATCGACCTATAGAAACGCTTAACTACGTGATTTCTTACTTCCTCCCGCCATCCGATAGCATCCTATCGTAATTCATGCCGACCTTAGGGTGAGACAACGGCCAGCGCAAGGGCAATAACGCGAAAGCTATACAAACGATCGTGGTGGATGCAAACCTGTGACGGTCTGGTTGATAGTAGGAGGCTGGCTGCTGGTCTTAGTGGGTCGCCCAAAGCCCGCCTGTGACGACAATGCTAGCGGGTCGACTGTTAGCGCAGTGCGAGACTTGAAATTTGGCACAGCTCTAGTTATTAGCTCCTGGTCCTTGAGCAGAGCGCTAGTTTGGTTGAGCGGCAAGTTACGGACAAGGTCCACATCGACACACGATGTGTAGTACTCGTCCTTCCCATCCACGGGCCTGGGCTCTTCTTAAGGCGCTGTGGGCCATTGCCACACCTAGTAGAGAGTTTAGGGCTGGCTGACGGTGATATCATCTGGTAATCTCACGTTTGTCTCGCAGAGCAGTTTACGTTCTGAACTGGGTTGTCTAAGTACTAGATTAGGAAATTCTAGATAGGTATCTAATTTATCTTATTCTTTTAGCATCTACCCTTAGGGTTAGCCCCTTGCACTATGGTCTCACACTTTAATAGTAGAACCATGCAAACCAACATCTTGATACTTGTAACTATAACTAATACTACAAACTATTTCTTAAATTTTTCTTCTTAAAGCAATGCCTATTTCATGTAGCAATAATTGCATTAATTCCATCTTACATTTGGTCCACAATAGATTTGCTGGAAGAATCCTGCAGTACTCTGCCTTACAGTACCAAGTGGATCTCTTGTTTGAAGCGTGTAGCTCATACCACCTGGACCATTCGCAAATACCATCCTTATTGGTGTAAGTGTGCCTGCAGTAAGCGACACTGAATAAGTGCCGGCGGTTCCAAGCAGACGGGATACTACGTTAGCATTGGCTTCTGACCACGTCGTTAATGCATTGGGACCAAGCCACAGGAAGCCTATATCGTCGGGATTATTGATAGTGAATGTCCATGTGCCTGTAACGTTGGCCGCGAAGTAACCCCGGAAGACGATAGCGCGGTAACTCATATCGAAAGTTCCTTGGTTGTACAATGAGACTGCGGTTGCTGGAGCTGGAACACCAAATTGGATATTGCCTATGGCACCCCTGATGGCAGCGGTCTCTGGGCCTACTCCATTGTAGACGTTGGGGGTAAAAAGGTCATATGACGGGTCAGAGGCTGTCGAGCCATCATACACAAAGTTGTCGTAAACAGACCATTCAAGACCAGTAGCAGAACATGTCCTGACATCTACCGCCGATACGCCAATTGTTGAGCCAGAAAGTCTGCAGCTTGGCTGCACAAAATAGCCGGTTGTGTCTGTAAGCAGAACGCCTGCAGGTGTGGTGATATCAAGCTCTAGGTAGGCGAATCCAGGTCCATTACCATACAGAATAGTTATCGGGTATAGTTGTCCTGCAACGAAGGATTGTGATACGGGTCCACCTCGATTCACTCCATATGTACTGCGCATATTCCAATTGGTCTCACCCCAGCTGCCAGAGCTGGCCGCAGCTCCCATCCAGAGATATGCGATGTCGCTTTGGCTCGATGCAGGGAAAGAGAGTGAGTAGGTACCAGATATAATCGGCCTGAAGTAACCAGTATAAACAATGGCTACCTGTGATAGAGTGCGCAGACTACCGTAAAGGTTACCAGATCCGGTGGCCCCTAGGTTAAAATTGATGTTGTTAGCAACGCCAGTGAATAGCGCAGCATTGCTGGCAACACCGCCGGAATTCGTGTTGAAGAAAGAGGAGTTAAACCCTGCATAGTAAGCGTTTTCGTAAGCTCCTCCGCCGAGATACGGGTTAGTATACGCCGCGTACGCCAGTCCTGAGGCTGTGCAAGTCGAAACTGGGACGATTTGCGTGACGGTTCCACCAGACGAGACCAGAGTTCCGGCAGGCCCGTACGTTTTCGTCGCCGGAATTGTGCCAGATGTGGCGGTCACCGTCGTGTATGTCACGGGTGAGTATACGGGTGATAGAACCACTTGCGTGCAACCAGCACCGATGACAGTCTCCAGGTATAATATGCCGTTGCAGATACTAGCAAACAGTGATAGGGTAACGAGATTCTGAGTCCTCAAAGTACCGTCAGGCCACTGCCCAGCATTGATGGGTACATTGGACAGAAGCTGGTTGGTACCAAATAAGAACGGAGCGCTGAGAAGCCCACCGGCTGGCTGCACTGAATAAAGAGGCGTGGTTGTTTCTCCGCTCTGGGGGCTTAATGCCAGCTGCCCCGTGGTTGCATCGAGGTAGAACAATGATGAAGTTGAGTAGTCGCCTACTGTGACATTACGCGCAGGACCTGTCACTGAACTGACATCAAGGTAGCCGTAGACATTACTGCTGAAATCTGTGACATAAATATGGAAAGGTATCTGTGGAACTGTAACAACCGCAACGGGAGTCGCGACGCCATTGACTATGGTTGTGGAGGTTGAAGTAATCGCCACGCCGCCCGATGTAACGGTAACGGTTATCGCCGGTGTAGGGGAAGGAACTTGTTGGAGAATTGTCCCAGTTTGGCCCACCACCGTCGGGGTGAACAGAGTTTGTCTGAGAGTCGTTGTGCCGCTATAGAATGAGGATATGGTCGTATACTCTGAAGGCCGTTGTAGCACGATCAGGCCTGTCTGACCAGCCACGGTGGGCACAAGCACTGTACTTGTAGCGATTGCTAAGCCGGAATAAAGGGAAGTTGCAGTAGTATATACAGAGGGTAGTTGAACTACTACTAGCCCTGTCTGGCCAACGACAGTTGGTACGAGTGAAGTGGACGTAGCAACTACCGTACCGGTATAAAGGGAGCTAACTGTAGTGTAGATTGTTGGAAGACGTACGAGGACTGTGCCCAATTGACCAACAACAGTTGGATCAAACGCTGTAGATGTGGTTACTACGGCTCCAGTGTACAAAGATGTGAGAGTTGTAAATGTCTTAGGAACTTGAACCTGTACCGTCCCAGGTTGCCCCACAACGGTAGCGATAGCTATCGTTGAAGTGAGAGTGGCGGAGCCAGTATACAACTGGGATATCGTGGTGTATGTTGACGGTAGCTGAATTTGCACTGTTCCAAATTGCCCCACAGCTGTAGGCGTAGCAATTGTTGAAGTGACAGTAATAGAGCCGCTATACAGTTGAGAAATCGTAGTGTAGGCAGCCGGATACTGTATGCTAATAGTACCAGTTTGACCAACGACTGTTGGTACTGCAAGAGTGGTCGTTCCCGTTGTAATTCCGGTGTACAAACCGCTCACTGTTGTGTACACAGAGGGGTATTGAATTAGCACGGTTCCGACCTGGCCAGGCACGGTTGGCGTAGCTAGCGTTGTTGAAGCCACTGAAAGTCCCGTGTATAGTGAGCTAATCGTTGTGTAGGTAGAGGGACTCTGTATGACCACCGTCCCAACCTGGCCAGGTACTGTGGGCGTGAATATTGTAGAGGTTGCTAATGATGTCCCTGTATACAAAGAAGTGATCGTTGTGAACACGGAAGGGCTCTGAATGAGAACCGTACCAATTTGACCAGGTACAGTAGGGGTAGCCAGTGTTGTTGTATTCACCGTTGTCCCTGAGTACAAGGCACTTAAGGTCGTAAAAACAGTTGGACTTTGAACGACCACAGTTCCAAGCTGGCCAGGAACTGTAGGAGTAGCGATAGTAACAGTGGTTACGCTGGCACCTGTATACAACGCCATTAGGGTTGTGTATTGACGAGGTAAATTAACCTGAACTGTGCCAGTCTGTCCAGGAGCTGTTGGAGTTGCCAATGTTACTGTGGTAGCTGCTGTGCCGTCGTAGAGCGATGACGTCGTGACATACTGTCTTGGCACGTTCAATTGCACGGTACCAACCTGACCTGGTAACACGGGAGTCGCCAGCGTGACAAGTGCTGAGGTGGTTTGATCGTAGACAGATGTGATAGTTGTGTATTGTTTTGGTAGGAACAGTTGCACTGTTCCAGTCTGTCCAGGCAATGAAGGCGTGGCCAACGTGGTAAGAGAGGAAGTTGATGCGTCATATAGCGACGTTATGGTAGCATATTGTTTGGGCAAATACACTTGTACTGTTGCCACTTGTCCGACGGTGCTGGGCGTTGCAACTGTCAGGGTTGATGCGATTAAGCCATCATACAAAGCCGACAATGTAGTGTACTGTCTTGGAACATTGATTTGTACCGTACCAATCTCACCCGCCAGAGTAGGCGTCGCCGCAATGAACATTGTGGTCGTCGTACCATCGTATAAGGATGTGATTGTGGTGAATTGTTTTGGTAAATTCAGTTGCACGGTACCAAGTTGACCTACCGCAGTAGGTGTAGCCAATGTTAACGTCTGGATGGTAGCTTGATCGAACAACGAAGTGATGGTAGTGTATTGCTTTGGCACATTCAGCTGCACAGTTCCTGTTTGCCCTGGCAGCGTAGGCGTTGCGATGATGTATGATGTTGTAGACAGGCCATCATAGAGAGAGGTGATTGTGGCATATTGCCTCGGGATATTCACGACGATGCTGCCAAGCTGCCCCACTGTAGTGGGTGTGGCGACTGTGACAGTCGTGCTTACTGTCCCATCATATAGTGAAGTAACTGTCGCATACTGCCTTGGTAAATTCACCTGTATGGTACCTGTTTGCCCAACGAGGGCCGGCGTCGCGAGTGTCACCGTCGTGATCGTAGAACCATCATACAGAGAGGACAAAGTTACGTATTGCTTTGGAACACTGACCAGGATTGTGCCGGTCTGTCCTGGCGCTGCGGGTGTTGCCGCGGTGCTTGTAATGCTGGACGTGCCATCATACAGCGCGCTTATCGTCGTGAACTGCCTAGGGATGCCCACAAATATAGTCCCGATCTGTCCTACTTGGCTTGGGATCGCAGAAGTAATGGTTGTAGTGGTGGAGCCATCATATAGGCTTGTTAATGTCGTGAATTGTCGCGGGATTTGAACAAGGATAGTTCCAGTCTGTCCAAGCGAACTTGGCGTATTGATTGTAGAGGTAAGCGCGGCAATACCATCATAAAGTGACGTAATTGTTGTGAAAACTTGCGGAGATAGGATAAGAACAGTTCCAGTCTGTCCAGGCATGGTGGGTGTCCTCAAAGTTGTGGTTGTGGATGTTGAGCCAGTGTAATAACTGGTGAGCGTTGTGAAAGGGCTAGGCTCCAGTACAACAATCGTTCCTCTTTCTCCCGCGACCGTCGGTACAAACTGTGTAGAGAATTGAGTGGTCGATCCGGTATATAGAGATGTCACTGATACGTATTGTGATGGTACCTGTACAAGGATTGTGCCTGTTTCACCAGGTATGGTTGCCGTGTTGATGGTTGATGTAGTAGTGGTTGAGCCTCCATACAAAGACGTAATAGTAGAATACCGTGGCGGGACTTGAACTAGAATCGTACCTGTTTGATCCGGTGAATTGGGCGTCGCGATGGTCAAAATGGAGGTTGTAAGTCCCGAATACAGCGAAGTTAGGGTCGTAAAAGACTGGGGTATATAGGCAATAACGACCGGGGGTTGTCCACTTGCGGTTGGGGTTGACGTTACTATGGACGTTGTAGTTCCTGTATAAAGCGAAGTCCTGGTCATAAGGACCTGGGGGCTTAGTACCACAACCTGCCCAGTCTGTCCCACAATTGTCGGTTGGATGGTGGAGGTTGATAAGACAGACCCAGAATAAAAGCTAGTCACAGTTGTATACAACTCTGGCACAAGAAGCCTGATTGTAGCAAGTTCACCCAGATTGCTAGGTGTTATGGTTTCTGTCCTCGTTGTTGATCCGGAATATAGCGATGTGATAGTGGTAAAGCGCTGTGGAACAAACACAACCACAGTCGTTGTTGCATCAGGACCCGCTGAATTGACGATTCTTGACGTAGAAGTCACACTGCCTTCGTATCCCGACGTCAACGTGATATAAGTGCGTATAACTGTTTTTGTAATCGTAGAATAAGCTGTCACGGTAGTATCGAGCAACGTCGGAGCATTATTGATGGTGATGGGTATGTCGAAAGGACTCGGAGTAATAGTTGTGTTTGATGTGATTGGAGTTCTAACGATAATTGGCTGTCCGCTGATCGTGGGCGCGAGTTGATACTCGACAGTGACTTGTGTCAGACAGACGGTGGATGCTGGCTGCTGTCTTGCCAGAAATCTGGGCTTCCAATTCAATGCCGCAGAGGGCAATATGCAGGCCAATAGGCCGAACGATGTTGGCTTCATGTTGTGGCAGGATACGACTCAGTCATGGACTTCCAAGAGAAAGTCGGACGTTCGAACAGCACCATTATCCTTTTACCTGGCAATCTAGTATGATCAAGACCAGACTGGCAAATCATGCACCACGCATTCCATACCTATCATAAGTAATACGCAGAATAAAATGGAATGTAGCCCTGGCGTAAGGTGAGCTAGGGTGCCGAGCTTTTGGTAACTGGTAAATTTAAGAACACGTCTGGACTTTAACAACCGTCTTCATTAGAAACTCTTCAATTTCCATCATAGGCCAGCTGATAGTAGATTGGCCTATCATCAGATCTCAAGGTTAAATGTGGAAAGGAAAGAATGCTAACGGCAATGGTATTGGTCACCGATCTTCTTGTAAGCCTACTCCAAGTTGTTGATAGAGGAGACCATGGCGCGAACAAGCATCTTGTCGGAAAGTGGTGCAAATCACCCATGTCTACTGTCGCGACGCGTGATGCTCCTACCCACGGCGAGAATTGATATAGCAGCAGTTGGAGTTGCACTGTTCCGTGCAGTTGGTCCACAATTATTGGACAATCTTGAACGCAATTTTCCATGGTGTTCGCTGTTCTGAGGGAGTGTGCGATGGGGATTGAACGTAGGGAGACGCGCCTGGAAAAGTCTCCGGCGTCTCGGATCGACGCCGGACAGAACTCCGCCACGCGGAAGGATAGTCCCAGCCTCAGTTGTCGGGAGGGAGTAGGGAGAAGGGTGATGGAAGCTGCACCCGTTCAACTCTTGTGGAATGCCAGCCATACCGTTCTTTCCACTCGTTCACAGTCGGCTCTTGATAAAAGCACAATCGACACCAGATCATGCATACATCCGAGAGGTCGTAAAATTTGCAGAGGAAGACTAGGTATGGCACTGGCAGACGACTGATTACCATTATATGCACTACTATGACAGGCTCAAACACCCTAAGCTACCTCTGACGGCGTTGTCAATTCCTTGGACTATCCAGCAGCCTCTTCTCATTATTTGTGTGTACAACCTTATCGGAATGCCACTCATAACACTTTCGAATGGATCTCTCTCCGTATTACCTGTGCGGTGGATCGTCAGGGTTGGACGGGGGCTCTCATCGCAGCATGATAGCCTTTCATGCGATGCGCAACTAAATCTATCAATCAGCCACTATCGATCTTGCGCTCCATCGAAGTGATAATTCATCGTAAACCAGGTATGATCTGTCCAAGATGGATTTGTTGTCATCCTGCCTTGCTCTTTGTGTGTTCTTCATCATCTCTGGTCAATCCTCTTGCTTGACAGCAATTAGCTAGGATCATTGCTTTCTAATGTTACTCAGCCTACATAAGAGCAAGGATGAATATTGCCGTCGGCAAGGGCACGTGGGCCAAGAACCGCGTTTCCTCAAGATGCCAAATCCCACTCTGTTGTGCGGCAGGCTTCTGCCTGCTCCTTAGCGTCACCTGTACAGTTGATTCCGCACAGTGACTACTTCATAATCTTTGCTTTATCTCTCGAATAACAACATACCACTTACTTATGTGGTCGTGCGCGCGTATGCAGCTGCCAATAAGTATTATGTGCTATCTAGAGACTGCGTGTTTTCAATTCATTTCTCTTCCTCTCTGCAGCCCTTGAGATGTCCAACATTTGTTGGTAGCGAGAATGCGAATTCTACAAGGCAGGGCCACATTGTGCTTCATATTTTGTGCAGCCACTCTCAACTATTCAGTACTCAGGTTTGCAATAGTTACCTCTAGAGCAAGTTTAATTTCACACCTCTCGAATAGCAACTCCCATCTTTGAACTTCATTGATGCTGTGTCATGAATGCCTGGGTCACGTGTGACTTGGCTTAGCCTCTTGGCGGTGCTTGCCCATAGATAGCTCCCATCCTCCTAGACTAGGACAATATGATCACATTACACACTGCATCTGGGCCCTCCTCACCGTCGGATACTGCAATTGACTGCTGTATTGTGCTGTATTTTCAATCTACTTGCACGACGAATCTTTCACACTTGCACGCTAGTTGTTGTAGATGATGAAGTCGTCGTAGAATTGATCTCAAATCCTTTCGAATACTTCTAGAGAGTAAAGAGATTGTCAAACATTAATTATCCCGCGCTTGAAGAAATGCACACACCACTCCACACCATTGTTGCTTGTTCGTAAAAGTCTTTTCATCGTGATCTCCGTTGATATTGCCATACTTCTTGTTGTTTAGCGGTGGACACCGCTACTGCACCTCCGTAGTATGTTATATATGCTGCATTGACGCTGTCGTGATGCTCCTTGGCGTGACGCTTGACGGATCTCCAGAGGCTGCTTGCTCTGCTTGTGTCCCCAAGTGTTGTGTTTGATGATACAACGGATTCCGCGGAAGATTTCATAGGTGTTTTGATCATGTCCAGTGAGGTACGGGGCGTTGTGGCTGACGAAGCAGACATGGTGACGGATTGTGAGCTCGTGTAGAGTCGTCGAGTGAGAGAATCGAGTCGAATGACGTTTGACGACTCGCTGGTGATCGGATGACTGGATAGGTATTCTGTAGGGTATATCCGGACTTCTTCCAAATACGATTGCTTAATTGGCGTTGGCGTTGACGGTAGGAGATGGTTGTGTGTATTTGTTCGAGTATGTGTATGAGGAAGAATGTATTCAAAAGGTAAGTTTGGTTTACTTTGCTATACAAAGGTACTGCTGGAGATGTCGTGAGTGCCAGCGTATCTATGTAGCCACCATTATATACAGCCCTCCAATGACTCCGAGCTCGGCCATGGAGCACTTAGCGTCGATTCGCCATGCGCCCTTTAACATCACCACTGCAGTTTTGCGACGGGTACGCGCCTTACGTGTAAATGTATACCCGCGCGATTTGCCGAGAGATAAAAACAAATGTTAGCAACCTACATTTTGGGAGCGTTCTGGGATTTCTTGTTTTCCGTCGGGCAATGCGGGTGAGAATTGGCGGTCAGTCAATTGATCAATCTCGTGAATACCATGGTATAGTGGATGTGAGCCTTGCAAAGGAATCACATGCGCATTTGGAACTGGCCGGCAGCCGAGTGCGGTCTTTGGCATTGACTGACGACTTCGCAAGTTCGAAATCTGAATGTTCGTCAAGCTGTTGTCGCGCCTTGCGTCTTGTGTAGCCGGGCAAAATCAGTGAGTTGTAGGTAGCCTACGTAAGTGGGGCCTGCTAATCAACTCACCCCGTTAATTTGTGTGTCGCTAAAACCCAACAAGCCACGATCGCGCCCTGCAGACGTATATGTTGCAATACGTGAGTCAAACCACGCCGAGAGCTCTCACCAGTTGACTGGACAATTATTCATCGGCAAAGCATACTGCATACAAGGAACATCATTGAAGCGGGCGAATTACCCAGAGTTGCCATGTGGCTGTAAGGCCAGTTGTGTTCAATTGACAGAACTACAATTAGATACATTAACAATTACAAGCTGCAAAGACATGACCAGGGGAGGTTCTCAAGGCTTGACCACAGTCGCAAAAGGTAAAGTGTTGTCCATGAAGAAATCGGCTCGAGGCTGGCTAGAGAAGGAGGAATTGGTGAGGTTGCACAATTTCGTAAAGCTTCCAGCGCTTGCAAGTTTGCTCTCGATGATAGCCTTGTACTAAGCAAGAGGGCAAGAAGATCCAGGACCGCTTGTGCACTCAGCCACGGGATACACGACTTCGTTGAGACGAATGCGCATGTACTTCTGATCGCTGGATCGATCCTGTGCATAGGCGTGAGATGTTTCGTTCGAGTTGGACGAGCAAGACAATCGCTCAAAAGCAACAGTGCCACGTTTTAGGACAAGACGACTTGATCGAAAGAGTCTGTTGGGAAGAGTCATATTGCCCAGTAGCTGTGGCTCGTTGTCGAAAACGCCAAGGGCGGCAATGATCTGGTTGATCTGGCCATCGTTGGAAAAAGAGGCCATGATCCTGGGCGGAGTGAAAGTGGAGTTGCCGTTCTCGTAACGCGCTTCTGGTCCATCCATAAATCTCCGAACGAGCATGTCGACAACGGGCAGCATCTGGTATTTTTCGATGTCCGAGCCTAGAACATTCCCATACCAGTATCGTAGATCCTGCGCATACTCGTATTGGAGAATTTCGTCTTCGGAAAAGATGTCGCAGAAGGGACTGGGACGACCAGTGGTTTGCGTCTCAAAGCCACAAAGATAGGGAATGATAGATACCTCTTTTTGGGTAAAGTTGAACCCTCCGTGGATCTTTGCATTCAGTCGAGCTCTGACCGGTGGCAGGTAGATGGCTTCCCACTCATCCTTGTATGGACTACCACTTTCATCCTCATATGCGCTACACAAATCGCTCGTTGCGAGAGAGTTCATCCACGACCGAGGGTCACTGCTATTGAGCGCATATATGGTTGCAAGCTCGGTCGCGTTTGGACCGAGAAATCCCTGGGCAAAGAGACGGGCACTATCTCGCACACGAGGACTGGATTTATACCAGTTGGCCCACATGGTGAAGGGAGTGTTGTACTCGTATAGGGTTGGATACCGAAGCCTCCATTGAGTGCCCATCTCATGTAGCTCCCTGTAACCAGTTGGCGATAGTTGAGCGATCTGACGTTCGGGATGCGTAAGTACAGGCTTCCAGGTCTTCAGGAAGACAAGCTTTGCATCTGTTACGTCCAAGGGCGCGGCTTGCAAGCGCTCATGGAGTGAGGTCCATTCGGCATAGGCGCCAGGGTCTGGATAGCGACTGCCATGGCGCGAGAAGAATGCGGCAAGATCCACATGGCAGTCTGAAGGTATGTCTGATGAGATGCCGGTGACTTCGGGTCCTATTTGCATCCATGTGTCATTGTGAGAGGGTCACGTGACATGGCGTCGAGGGCATAACTACGGTACCTGGCAGCCATTGTGCGTTCCCTCCAAGATGTCGTAAAACGTCAAAGTCTTCCCCAGCTACGCCTGCGATGGCCAGCGAGGCTGCAAGGACGGGTGATGTAATGCTGCATCGTGTAGTGCTTCTCGAGGGATATTGTGGCATGAGTAGGTGTGTATCGTACTACCGGTACCGGTACCGGTACCTATGCACTGGGGCACTGGGGCTTATGTGCATGCGATGGCTTCAGCCGAGATTGTCATGTACCGGTACGGTACCTACGGGTGCAAGTCCATTGGTATGAATCCCTCCCTGTTGAATCCTCGTGCAAAGCATAGGTTGTACCATTACCATACTCCTACTGTGCAGGCAGGTAGGATAGGCAGCTAAGGGGGTACAGGTACTATACGGTACAGGTCATTCTGGTAGGTACATTCAAACGCGAAGAAGCTCAAAAGACATGGCTGCCGTCTCTACCTATCCAATCCACATGACGACCACACCATGACAGTGTACCGGTAACTTAGAGCAGGAGTCTTCTTCTCTTTGGGCAAGCAGTCTGCAGTTCGTGACGAGCATCAAGTTCTGCTGTCATGTAGTCGCCAACAGGTACGGGGACGTACCCAAGGGACATGGGTGCCAGCAGCGGGTGCATGACTCAGGCGTCCTTTGCTCGCCACCTTCCACATTCACTTCCCGCCCGGGCTCCTCATTCTCCATTCCCAAGTCCAAGTCCAACCCCACCACCCTACGCCGCTTCATCACATCAACCGGTCACCAGCCCCAGATTGCCCAGGTCGCATACCTACACGCGATGGTCATGATCCGCCCAAGCGCGTGGTGACGACTCCTTGCCATGGCTGAGCCAAAGCCACGGCAGCGGAAATTCGCTCCCAGGAGCCGCCAAGGCTGTCTGACATGTCGTCAACGGCGCAAGCGATGCGACAACCAGCAGCCTCAGTGCAACCACTGTACGCGGCTCAATCTCAGCTGCGCATGGCAGGCTCCTCGCAAGCTGGTTGCAGACTCCTCTCCAACCCCGGGCCCACCTTCGCCTGGGCCTGCCGTGGCGTCGCTACGGCCTGCTTTGGACATATGGGACGCCCTGCCAGCAGACGCCGTGTCAGAAAGGAAGCATCTCTTACAGTACTTTGTCGAAGCATTTGTGCCCAGCGTCTCGGTCGCCACCACCCCAACGAGCTTCTACACATCCCTCTACATGCCATGGGCCTTCCAGATCGACGGCATGTTGGATGCCATCCTCGCCATCACTTCGGCTCAGCTAGCACGTCGCACCTCCGACGACACGCGGGCCGCCCATCTACGTGCTGTGTCGTCTCGTCATGAAAGAAAGTGTTATGCTTTCATCAAGGATCGCATCGTCCCATCAGGCGGGCTACCCAAAGATACTTATCAAGTCGCAGCCGTGATTCTGATCCTTGTTGGATTGGAAGCCTTGAACGGCATGAAATCCACACGCTGGATCTCCCAACTCAAAAGCGTGCAGCGCATCCTGGCCTCACTTACACCTGAACAAAGCATCATCGACTGTGTCGAGGTCGATTCGCTCCAACGTCATTTCACTTATCACTTTGCAAGCGCATCCTTAATGGCCAGAGTGTCCCACGCGCCCCCGTCCCCCTCCCTTGAACAAGACCTTGCACCTCTCAGTGCTCCGCTCATGCCAGGCACAATTGATCCGCTCATGGGTATCAACTACCAACTTTGCGATCTCATCTCTCGCATTCAATATGTAACCTCGTCCAACCCAGCCTTTCCGCATGTCACAGAGGCTTCCTTCAATGCCATCGAGACTGGTATTCAAAACTGGACCTACGACAACCCTTTTGCTTTGGGGGTAGAAATACCTATCGCACTCGATCTAATTGCGCTGGCGGAGGCTTACCGACTTGCTGCGCTAATCCAGTTGTATCGAAACTCGCCAAATCATGCCTCGCTCATTCCTAGCTGTGCTTTGCGCGCCATGGATTTCATAGCTCGTATACCACCTGGTAGTCCTGCCGAATCTAGTCTGCTATATCCCATATTTCTTGCTGGTGCAGAACTGAACAATGCTACAGCTATAGAGATTTGCTTGAAGCGGCTCGAAGATATCCGGAGACGAAATCGTTACGAGAATGTCGGCAGCGTGCAGAAAGTTTTAAAAGAAGTTTGGCGTCCCAAGCTGGACGGCGGTCAGAGGAGAGATTGGGAGGAGGTACTTCAAGAGTGGGGTTGGTCGTTCACACTCGGATGAGACACCTGAGTATACACAGCGCAAGTATCTATTGTCCGGAGAGACGCCTATTATGACACAACATGCTGCCACTTTTTACACCTACGGCTTGCGTGCTACGCATTGCATTCTTTGCTATACAGCTCGGAAAGAGAACAATACCAAGCAGCGCCTTGGGTGATTAAGGATCTGAATAGAAAGGATCTTATCAATCGAACAAAAAGGTTGACGGGAAATCTCTAAATAGGCCCGAGTCAACAGGAAAGTGGGACTGCTTGGCCTCAAGAAACGGGATGGAGTAGCGGGGTTTCCCGGAATACATAAAGGAATGCGGCAGAACGAGGCTTCAGTGACTGGTGCTTCGAAGCTATCATGAGCGACGCTGGTATGATAGCTGGAAGGAACCTCTTCTACATGAGCCCAAAGGAACTCAATGGTCAGCAGCTAGACACTACCCGAGGCTGGCTTCTTTGGTGTTGATGTCAACTTGGACATCATCTATAAGAGTGCTTATCTAGCGATGCGTCGTCTTCGCCTCCAACAAACTACACAGACGTGCTCAAGAGTCCAGAGGGTCAATGTATCCACTGCGTTTGCCGTACTGGAAGATGCCCCTGTCTCCCGGGACAAGACCAATCTCTTCGTCAATAAGCTGCCTGTATATAGGCAGACTCGATTGAGGATCTTGAAGATGATTTCGAAGCACGTACAGCAGGAATTTCCTGTCAAAAAGGATTCCAGCAATGTGATGGGTTGGCCAAAGAATATTGGCTGAGCGACAGATAAACGAGCTTGGCATGCACGACAACACCACACCTGGGCAGGCGCTGGCTTGAGACGCACTAGATGTCCACGCTCCTGGGCCGCATCTTCGTTGAAACATTTCTATGCAGGTACAATCGACGAACATCTCGCGTACCAGTAAGTGATCTAGATATCGTTTAGTGCCGAGTTTCCGTTAACATTTCATGGCATAGGCGCCATCCCCTGCAGCTTGAGGGTCGTCACTACAGATCTCGGAACAACTCATATTCGGCAGTCCATGTCAGTTCCTGTAATTGACCTAGGATAATACTTAACCTGGCAAAGTAACAAGGTTGCGGGGTATCTAGCGGGAAACGTTATTCGTCCGGGTCGCAATAAGCTAAATGTCCGGGTCACAAGCCTTACCATACCTAAATTGGTTAATATCCTGCACCTAGTAAAATAGTACTATAGGGGACACAACTAGATAGCCTATAACTAGTATTAATAGTATTAGTATAACGTACCCCACAGGTAACTGGCTCACATAGGTAGTTAGCTCACTCTACCAAGCTTAGATTCCTAGGCCCTTCCTCTAGCTATAGGTTATAGTTATTTAGGGTATTAATACTACTAGCTAGGCCTTTTTACCCTTTATTATCTTTAAAGGCAAGTAATACCTCTCTACCTAGTATAAATAGGATAATCTACCTTAAAACTAGGTTATTATAGTTTCTAAGAATATCTAGATAACTAATAAGCTTAGGTTTAAGTAGTTAGAGTACTTTAATACCTATATAAAGAAGCGTATAGTTAGGGGATAGTAGCTACTACTTACTTATAGTTATATAAGCTATAACTTACTCTAATTCTAATAGTACTATAAGGATAATAATATTATTACCCTCTATATACCTCCTTATATATTATACCTCCTCTTGTTATAGAGTGGCCTTAAGGGAGAATGCAATAAGCGTTAATAATAGTATTTAGTATCTTAAAGGAGAGGTAAGCCCTCCACGCCTTTTTATAGGTGTGTAGCGTGTTCGCTTAGTAGTAGTGTTGGACTCTGTCCATCCTATGTTAGGCCTAGGCTTGGGCTTACGCCCAAGCCCTTTACACCTCTTGCTACTTAATATAGGTTATTTTACTCCTTTAAGGTAGTTATATAGCTACTAAGCTAAGGAGCTAATATATAACTAGATTATATATATCTTAAAGCTTAAGTTCCTACTATACTTTATACGCGCCTTTAATATAGTAAATACTCCTAGTAATATCTAAGGAGGGTTTAGAGGGGCTAGATTAGTACTATTTAAGCTAGAATTAGTTATATTATATCTTAATATATATATATATACTTTATCCCCTCTTTCTCTTAATATTAAACCCTAGTAGTTATAAACTACTAGTAATACACTTAAAATAGGGTTATAATTAATACTTATAAAGGTAAGGATTTAGGTATATATAGATAGCTTACTAACTTCTATAGTTAAGGTGTTTAAAACGCTTACTAAAGGTTTAGCTATAGTAGCGTATAAGCTAGTATTAGCATAAAAGTGTATTACTAAGCTTAAAGTAGTAAAATAAGGCCTTAATACGCTAAAGACTATATAAAAGGAAGTAGATTTAGGTAAAGGGTACTCTTATAGCTAAGGATAGGCTAGGCTTAACTACTCTAAAGGAGTTTAGGGCGTAGAGTAATAGAAAGAAGATAAGTAAGAAGGTATATACTAATAGAGGTATAGTAGGCTAAAGATACTATAGAGAGGGCTATAAGATAGGATATAACTTATATATATATATAAATAAGGTTAAGCTAGCTATAAAAGAGTAATTAATATAGTTTTATTTTTAGATAAAGCTAGAGTATACTATAATAGACTATACTAGGGGTGATTTTAGTAGGGTCTTAGCGTAGGTGTGTTACCTACCTATATGCGTTACCTACCTATAGAGTACGTTACCTAATACGCACTAATACTATTAATACTAGTTATTAGCTATATAGAAGTATCCCTTATAATACTAATTTACTAGGTGTAGGATACTAAGTATAGAAATTTAGATTACTAAGCTTAGAAATAATTTAGGAGATAGATTATTAGAGTATATCTACTATAATAGGACTTACATAAATAGAGCTTTAGCTAGCCTTACCTAAAGGTGTATAATTACTAAGCCTTCCTTACTAGACCTGCTTTTTCTATGTTAGTACTTAGTAGTAAGCTAGTAGGTAAGCTAGTAGTAGATTAGATAGTAGATAAGGTAGGGTATAGATTAAGGATATTAATTAGGAATTAGATTAGTTTAATTAGATTAAGATACTCTATACTATAGTTAGTATTAAACTATTAAGGAGAGTAACCTATTTAAACAAGGAGAAGGGTAATAGGCAAGACTTAATATAAGGTATCTTATAATAAACAAATTAGATTAAAAGAAGGGTTAAGGAGAAGAAATTTCATTTAATAAGATGTGTTAAAGAATTAAGTGTTAAGTTACCTAATATTCTATCCTATGATCCTCCCCTCCTTTATATTATTATCTTACCCAAATCAAGTTTTAACCTATTCTAACTTAGGCTAGACCTTATTTTTACCTAAACCCACCGTGCTATAGCATAGTATCCTTTCTATAACACTAACTAATATATAGTAGGGTAGCTATCACTATAGTAAAAAATTGTTTACTATAGAATGGTACGCTAGGGGTTTACTATATAGGTGTAAACTAACCTTGTGTATACCTATAAATAGGTTTAAAGTGGTGGTTTACTTTTTTATAGTATAAACATAGTATGGTTTACTATAGACCTATTAGTAGAGTAAATAAAGTGGTTTATAATAGACCTATTAGTAGAGTATATAAAGTGGTTTATAAAAGACAAAATATAAGTGTTAGGTATAGTAATAATAGTATTAGATTTTTTTTAGTATCCTTATATAAACTACTAGTACGTTGTTACCTGTCCTGTCCCTAGGCCTAACCCGCCTAATTAACAGCCTATACCCGCCTAATTAATAGGCCTAAAACTACCTAATTATTAGCCTATACCCGCGTAATAATTAGCCTATACCTGCGTAATTGTAAGGCCGTCCACTGCGTACTATACTTATTTTTAGAAAACCGCGGTATAATATAAATTAAATAGGTATACAAGTGGTATAACTGCGCAGTAATTAGTGTAAGTTAGTACGTCTAATAATAGTCTAGCGTAATATATAGATAATATACTTACCTAATAAATGCTAGTATATTATATAGCAATAGTGTTAGTATAAAGAGCCTAGTACTATAAAGCTAGATATAGACCTATTATCTTACTTAACTATAGGTAGTTAGTCTTAGACTATCCGCGTTTATTAACAATATATAGCTTATTACTAGGTTAAAGTTAAGCGCTATATCTATAGTAAACTATAGCTACTCCTATAAGGTTAATAATTATTATTGTTTAAATCTATTTAATACTATTATTATCTTCTATTATCCTCTAAGGTTAGGCTAGTTAGCCTATAGCAGCAGCGGGTTATATCTGTTGCTATTAAAGTACTCCTACCTATTTAGAGTTATTAGCTAGATCTTAAAATAGGTGTATTACTATCCTAAAGGAGAGCTAAATATAGTTATTATAATTATTTCTAGCAGCGTAATACATAATAAACGTAGTACTCTAGGGGTGGTTACTATCTTTATAATTCCCTAAAACCCTAATAGTATACCTATTTAGAAGTATATAATAGTTATATATAACTATATCCTAGGCGCGTGTCTATATAGCATGCACTATAGTTATAATTATAGTATAAGTGTTATCTAGGATACGTCCCTAGTGCGTATCTATACTACTATAAGACTTAGATTTTAGATAGTGCTCTTATAGCTAAGTTATAATTATATTTTTGTTAATATTATACTCTATACTAAGCCTAAGCTATTGCGTGTGGATAATACGCTTGTATACTAGCATATTCTACTCTAAACTAATATACTTCTAGGAAGGAGAAGTTACTATCTTCTTAATATAACTAATAAGTCTCTTTAAAGACTATTAGGTATAGTATATAGGTAGTCTAAAATCCCTAGTATTAGATATAAGGTAGAGTAGGTAATAGATCTAAATAGAGCAAGACAGTAACTAGTCTACTTTACTATAGTAGTAGAGTAACTTGTACTAGCAAATAAAATTCTCTACTAATAGTTCTAACTTGTTAATCTAGTTAATAGTAAACTCCCTCTAGCTTATGCGGAAGAGTAGTTTATAGTAGCGTAGGAAGTTATTAGTATATTCCTTCTAAAGATAGAGCTATATAGCTAGCGCTCTATAAGTAAGTATAAAAGTCTGCTATTTAAATAAAGTCTATATCTTGTATATTATAGTGCTTTATAGGGCAGTGCTAACTTAGGTTAGTACTAAGGAATAGGACTTATAAAGACCTTTGTTAATTAAAGCCTAATTAGCGTTAGTAATAAGCTATAGTATAGTCTTGTTATTAAATTTATCCCCTTTCTAGAGTTAGAATAAGGCTTTAGGTATATTATAGGACATTACGTGCATAATATTAATAGGAAAGCTATAAGGAAAGTGTATAGTAGGGAGGTCTAATAGGATAGAGTAGTGGTTAATACTAGCATCTTAGCGTAAGGTAGTATATCTAGAGGCTAGCATGTTAGTCTATTATTTATATATATCTTTAATAGTAGTAGCTAAATTATTATATATAACTAGGCGAAGGGTATCTCTATTTAGGAAAGAGTATTTACTAGTTCTCCCCTTAGTTCCTTTGTGCAGGTATAGGTAGCAACTCCTTTTTAATATACTAGGCTATTTTATTCCTATAATCTCTACTATAGCTAGCCTATCTCTAGTTATTAGTATAAGGTAGGCGTAAAGGATAAATTCTTCCTAAGCGTCTGCGTTATATATGTCAACTCTAACTATAAGTTAGCATAATTCCTCTACTATTAGGTGTAGCTAAGTGTCTATAATTTTTTTGTTAAAAGTACTAGGTATAATAGTAGTAACAAGTGTATTATAGTCTTAATCCTAAATAGATAGGTAAAGGTTTAAGATATATAGTACTACTAGTGTGATACTTTATTATTTCTTAGGGTTCTTTACTATACCTACCACGTCTAATATAAGTTGTAAAGCTAGATCCCTAGGGTCTTAGAAGTATCCTTTCCTACTATATTCTTAAAACTAGTCCCTGTTATACACGTCTTAGTGTAAAGTACATTCGCTAATAGGGTTAAAAGTTACCTAATACGCTTTTAATTATTATAACTAATAACTATTATTATACTAGATA